GGTATTTAAGCCTATCCAGGGGATATGCTTGAAATGGCACCCTATGCCCTATACAGTGTATTACTACTGTGTATGGACCCTGGTTAAAAGTTAGGCATAGGATGCCATTTGGAACGCAACAAGGCTCACTCAGGCAGAAAGTAGCTAGGCCATAGGGTCAGCAGTTCACACTGAGGGATATGGTGCCATCGGTCCCCTATCGACCAGGCGATCGAGGAGGGTGGAGGGAGCCAGAGGAAGACATCTCCAACCCACATGGAACCTGTTCTTGACTCAATACAGCGATATGATGTCATCCCCACAAACACTGTCTGAGGCTGTTGATCCCAATCACTAATATAAATGGTGTGACGGGGTGGGATTTTATGACTGACAGTGGATTGACTTTGTTGCCCTCAGAGACACAGTATAGCTTTATATATACGACTCTGGTTGTCCTTTACGGACTATCATAAAGTTTGTGTTAAGTCTAAAGGAGTGATCTTAAAGATGTCATACAGTGTACACCTTATAGGGCCCATAGATGTTATTAAAGTCCCTGGTGCTAACATGCGTAATGAGTCCTGATCGTGTTCACATTTTCAGACGGGTGTAGACAATTAGAGAACTGATTGTGATCAGATCTTCCAAGTATAAACTGACAAGATCATTACGAACGACACATGTTAGTGGCAGGTATAAACCCGACTAGAGAGGATAGAGGAATGCGGCTAAGAGCTAGATTCAATCTGTAATGCGGAAGATCCGTGTCATAGCGCTATTGACATTTAAAGGCAATATTCCCACGTTAGCGGAGACTGCTTTCACGGTAAACGCTGCATATATCGGCTCAATCGGAAATTACCTTTACATTTCTAATGCAATCTGTAACACTTCAGCGATACAGATTGAGTAGAGCACCTTAAGGTAATTTTCGATTGATTCGACATATGTAGTGTTTACCATGAATGCGGTCTCCGCGAACGCGGAAACATTGCCTTTAAAAGGTGCAGAGCTGAAAAGGGTCGATGGGATTTAATCTAGCCATACATCTGGACCCTTACGCCTAAAGGGCCATGGCCAAAAATGTCTGCTGACCCATTGGCTGTGGCCTGCAAGTTAAGGTTCCAACTGGTGTCGCTACATTGAGCTTTTAGTAGTAATATGATTAAGCAGAGAGAGAAATTGCTAAACATCAGGATACCCACCGAAATGCAGCAATTTAGGCTGTGTTTACACAGGAAGCCCAAATCTGATATTTTGCCACTAATTGGTCTTTTGACCAATCAGATCTTTTGATAATAATAGGGCCAAAGATCAGAATTGGACTGCCTGTGTAAACGCAGCCGAAGTAATCCAGTACAAGCCTCTCTCTTAAGGCTGCGTTTACACAGGCAGCCCAATTCTGATCTTTTTTTCACTAATTGGTCTTTTGATCAATCAAATCAGCTCTGAAAAAGATCTAATGTGAAAAGATCTGATGTGATTGATCAAAACACCAATTAGTGGAAAAAAGATAAGTAGCCTACCTACCCCTGGAGCTGACAGCCTACTAGCCTACTGCTGTATGACAGTTTGGGGAAATACCAGTCTCCAAGACTCATTGGCTGCATTTAGACAGGCGTCCCAATTCTGATCTTTTTTCCACTATTATAGTATTTTGACCAATCACAGGTCTTTTCACAGCAGATCTTTTTGAGCTGATCTGATTGGTCAAAAGATCAATTAGTGGGGGGAAAAAGGTAAGAATTGGGCTGCCTCCTTAACAGCAGCATTATTGCAGCTTTGAGACTTTGAAAAGACAGATGTTTTGTATATGCATGTGAGTGTAAGTAGCTTAGCCTGCATGCATTATCTACCTGATTTAAATTGTAATTAACTGGTTTTGAAAAGCCATGCAAGGTTATTCCTTTGATGCAATTAAAATTGCAACGTTCACTAAAGCAGGCCTAGTTTTCTGTATGAAATTCTACATGCTATTCTATTGCTGTATCGAAGTGGTGGAACATATGCTGCCATTGCCAACATGTGCAAAGCCAATTATTCTATTGTATTTATTATATTATATAGCATGTATTTGTCTGCACGAAAATGACTTTTTATAATGGGTGGATGTTTAAAACAAAACGGATTCAAGCTAATCCAGTCCCTTATCCATTGCTTGATTAGCCTATACAGAAATAATGGACAACATAGGATAGATCGTGAGAGAGCGTGGAATATGCGAGTTTAAACCGAATAGGGCCGAATCGACTTTTTTCATAATGAATTAGAGAAATCTTATGTATGTTTTAAAAGAAAAATGGTAGCCTTATAACAAGCTTATTAACTGTCTAAATATAGGAGACGTAGGCTACTATTTATTTAACGAAATTATAAAATAAGGGAACATGAAATGGACCGTTCTGGAATTACTCAAAATGTTTTAAATCAAATGTTCCACCTGGCCTATGCATCAAACGAATTCCATTGTGCCAAGTCCAATTTCTAGTTCTTCAGTCCTGGTCGTGTTTGTTGGCAGGTGTTTCGAAAATACCCAAGATTGGTTGCAAATGTTTGTTTGATGCAAATTTGACAAATGCTGCCCACGTGTTCGGAGCCTACTCAAGCTAACATGTATAATGTTCTAGTTAGCAAGGGGCTGCGCACCTCAAATGCCACCGTATTCCCTTTTTAGTCTCCACTATGTAGGATATATAGATGCCATTTGGGACGCTGCCAGCGTGTTTATTTAGCTTGTACATAATATTCATCATTAAAGGGGCAATCTGGGATTCAAACAACAAAAATCAATGTCTATAATCATTAAATTATGTCAAAAAAATTGATGTACCAACCCCAGATTGCGTACTCAAGCACGCGTGGCCGCTGATTAAAGACTTGCACCTGAGCTCTGTTATTTTACTTAGCCTATAATTTTTGGATTGAATTAATTAATAGACCAGATCACCTCAAATGTTTTGGCATGTCTTTAATTTGTTGATAGGTCCCTTGATCAACTTTCAGGTTTGTTGCAAATAGATGGCCTGTGCATTATGCATGTATTCCTATAAGAAAGATCATATGCCGCTAAAAATGAAATAGTCCAATTCAATCTATTATAACTTCAAAGCCTAAAACTAATAAAGAACGGTGCCTTGTCAAAGATTGTTTTTGGTCATAGCCTTCAGAGTTCAACAATGTTGGATCTTTCTCCTTCTCAAGACCTGTCTTCCTCTGACAGTATCATTATCCGCGTGGCCTTCGCACACTGTTAAAACATGCACGTCTTAACAACCTTGCCAAAACGCCGCCAATTTTCCCTTAAAAAAAAAAAAAAAGGAGTTTATGCCCTCGAGCTGCCCCCCTCTCCGCTTTTTGACCTGCTAACCTGGCCCCACCTAAGTAATTACCGCATCAGAGGCGGTGAGATTCTTCCAGGTTATTTTGGATAAACGCGACTCTTGGTGCTACACGGAAATACCGCGCGGTTGTAATTATATATGCGCATTCAATTACGCCGCGATCAAATATGACAGACTCAATATTTAAAGCGTTTTAACGCTGCATGTCAAAAGAAAATACGTTTAAATTCCCTAAAGCAATAAGTGATTTTAGCGTTTCAATTTGACCACAGGGATTAAATAAACACTCTTAAAATCTATCCCTGTAGGCCTACAGGATGTATTTTAACTTGTCTTAATTATGGGAGTAATTTGCATAAATTCCCCCCGTTAGGCCTACACTTAGTCTAATTAACATCCCAACAAGCATATAAAACTAAAAGTGTGACTTGTTTAAATTAAAAACAGGAATCCTACATAAACTAGGGCATAGGCTACGCCTACCTGCACCCAAAACCAGTACAGGCCCCAATTTCAGTCCAAGTCAAGCACTGGGTGAACTTGTAGGCTAATTCCGGTCAAACACAGAATCCACTAAGAAATATGAGTTCACGGATCTTTATTGGATGGATATGTATGTAAGGGTGGTCGCCTTGAGATACATTCAACATTTCACTGGCATTTTGGAACAGTAAATCCACATTCTTAAAATGATTAATTTGACTCCAACAGGAAGTCAAGTGCTATTGTTAAAATATGTCAAATTTTACGATTGACAAATGCCAGAGTTAGGAGGTGTTTGAAATATGTTTAACTTTTAAAGATGTTTTCTTTTGAAAGACGGCAATCCTGATTGAGCATGATCCAATACATTTTTGCATCTATATTTTCTTATTTCGTTTCTCCAAGACATTTCAAGTTGTCAAAGGTATTTTTTTTTTTCTATAAGGAAAACAACGTATATAAAATGGAACTTTATGGCCAATTCGTTCTCTTTGGAATATTTGGAAAGATTTACATCGGCAATAGTTGTTTCAAAGTTCTTATTAAACAATTTCAAATTCAGAAACACCAACTAAACGTGGTCACTGTAACTGACCCAAATACATATATACATATTTCAGCGCCTTTATGTCGCTGACTAAAATCTCTTTCATCCTAAAAATAACATTTCAGAAATAAAAACACAATTTGATTGGGAATGGACGGAGGTAAGCAGCGCGTGCACTGGCACGGTGACAGGTTGGTAATCCTCATCATTCTAGAGACAGACATGAGTGCATCGCCAGAGCCAGGACGGGAGGACGCTAGGTCACAGAAGTTTGGTTGAAACATTTGTTAAAACAGTCCAACGTTAAAAGGTCATCCTGTATCTTCGAAACATTTGTTCATTGACAAAAGTAAAAACGACCTTTCAATTAAGTCCACAGCCCTCTCTCTGCTCAAGTTGTTTTCATTAAAAATTAAAATATTTAAAAAAGGGACCGTTTTTTTTAAATAATAAAAATAAAAGTCCAATCAATGAACTTCTGTCCATCCAAACTATCATTGCTGTTACTTTTTAAAGTTCATATACTTTTCTCTTTAAAAATCAACAAATTAGGAGTGAGGAAACCAAATAGGGAAGGAGGGGATATACAGAAGGGGGGAAAAAAGTCAACCAATCACAAGACATGAGTCCCCTGGTCTTTGTAGTCCTCACAAGACTTGGAACCTCCAGGAGGCCTGGTCTTTGTAGTCCAAGCAGTCGCTGGCATTAAAGTTGAGTTTCCACGAGGAGGCCGCCGTCTGCTCTTTATAATCCAGGCAGTCTGAGCCGTTGAAGGCCAGGCCGGAGCCTCCGTAAGCCTGGTGATGGTGGTGGTGGTGGTGTCCTGAAGACTGACTGATATGGTGGTGAGGGTGACCCGACATGGAAGAGGCAGTCATGGGGCTGAGTTGGTGGTGTGGGTGAGAGTGCATGGGGGCCAGGTAGGAGCCGCAGTCCACCCCGCTGAAGTAGGAACTGGACGGGGTAGGGTTGTAGGAGCCGTAGCCTGTGGTCTGGTTGTAGGACATGGGATAGGAGGCGGCCGAGACCGACCCCGAGACCGACCCCGAGACCGACCGCTGCATACAGGAGGCGTTGGGCGGTGGTCCGGGGGGCTCGGCGAGCGGCGGGGCAGAGGCGGGTGTTAACGGGCCGTTGCCCGGGGAGATGGCGGGACTCCAAATGGACGAGACGGTGCTGATGGAGGTAGAGGTGTTGCTGAGGCCTGCCCCCGCGTGATTGGTGGAGGAGGAGGAAGAAGAGGAGACTGCGCTGGAGACAGCAGGTGGGGTGAACTGGCCGCTGCTCTCCGACCCTGTGCTCTCCCTCGCCGGAGATGACTTCTTCTTGGCCGGACGGGCCTTGGCACTGTTGCCGCTCTGTGCCTGCTGCCGACACTTCGCCCGCCGGTTCTTGAACCACACCTAGATCCAAACAAAGAGAATCAACTGTTAAACACACCTAGAACCTATCAACCATTAAAACACACCTAGAACCAAACAAATGTTAAAACCACACCTAACCAAAACAACTAACCGAACCAAGAGCTAGCCAACCCAGCCATCAGAGACAACAAGCTCTCACAATACAGTTCTAAAGAGAAAAGGCCATGATGGAACAACAGAGTTGGTGTAATTAGGTATCAATGTTAATTTTCACCCAGGCATGTTCCCTTCTACCAGCATGGGTCTCTAGTTTCATACCTTGGTTGTGTCCCAAATCGCACCCTATTCCCTACATAGTGCACTACTTTTGACCAGAGCCCTTTGGGACACCCTATGGGTCCTGGTCAAAAGTAGTGCACTATGTAGGGAATAGGGTGCCATTTGGGATGCAGACCTTGTAGATAACAGGCTATAGAGTTTCTCTTCGGAGCAGGGTAACTCCATAGCACCAAGAGGGGAGGATCATGTAGAGCATTTGGTTTCACACGCATTCTGACAACAACTCAGAAAGAGAGGTTGGCCTTGGTGACGACCTCATGTTCTGAGCAAATGGTTTAAAAAAGGCATGAGTAGTCTATGGGACTGTGTGTGAGAGAGACTTATGTTAAGTTTAACAAAACGATTTCTAAAACGGCATTGTAGGCATCCAAAAGTGAACCTCTGAATTGGTGCTCATATTCTAGGTCTAGCCTATACATCACTACCCTGGATGGCATTCCGTTTAGATAATAACAAGTGTTGAATAAACTACAGATCAGAAAGACCACCATTCCTCAGATAGTCACATGATATAGCCAATAATATGTGGAGAGAGGCCACCCAGTCAATAGCTCACCAATCACTAGTACAAGCTCAATGACTTTATGGGGAAACTTCATCGCTGCACTATTGAAGCTAACTGCTAGCCGTGAGAAGTATGGTTTAAGTAAAGTATTTGTTCTATGGAGCACAAGAGGGGACTACAGGGGTGGGCGGCTATATTGTGCGTCACTGAGTTGGTTACAACAACCCTAATCCTTGAACCAATCCCTGAGATTTCAATGAATCGCTGTCTCCCAAAAAAGCAGAGTGAATGCAGTTAAAAAGGTTGACATTTTACCTGGACCCTGGATTCCGGAAGGTTAATTTTCAGTGCGACCTCTTCCCGCATGAAGATATCCGGATACCTAGTTTTAGCAAAGAGCGACTCGAGGATGTCCAACTGCGAGCGCGTGAACGTGGTCCGCTCCCGACGCTGTTTTCTAGGCGTCGCTGGAACAGAGAGAGCAAGAGAGATTTGAAATTAAAGCTTTAAAATGATTTGTGTCTATATTTAGAAGAAAGACTAATCATATTTAGACAATTATTCGTGCCACTTGAGCAATATTCAGCTTAGTCTGTTTGTCTTACCAGCCAACATTTCATTGTGTGGAAATAAATAAGACAACATCGGACTGTATATAAATATTCGATGTAGCCCGCCAACTATAACAAATACAAACTATCCAAAAATACTATAGCCTAATTGTGGAAACTAAAAATCTATTTATTTTTTACTTTTTCCATGGCTAACCATGCGTAAATCCACTTCAAATAAAGTTTGATTTCGAGTTGTAGCCTATTAAGCTCAGATTCAATATTATCTTTATCCAACATTTTGCGTCCTCAAGCCCGGACCAGGCCTAAACCACCAGTGTGCGCACTGCTGATATTATCGTTGGCTGCTCAGACATGTTGTATGTTTGGTTACTGACAATAGGTTGCCTATAGGTTTGTCCTTATAGGTTCCATTTCCATTTGGAGAGAGACATCCTGGAGTGTGAGAGCCCCGGGCGCTGGGCCGTGCACCGAACTAGCCTGACATCCAGAACCTGTTTCGCTAAAACATTCCACTCAAACACGGGCGGATGCGAGGCGCTTATCCCTACCTGGGTAGCCCACAGACGGGTGCAGTAGGTCCATGGCGGCGCCGCTGAGCCCTAGGCCGTTCATGCCGTAGGGGGGCTGTTTGAGGTATGACATCATGCTAGAGGCAGTCACGGGTCCCCCCAGATCTTGCCAATAGTTCGATTTCCCCCGATGTTGCAGCTTGACGGGAGAGGGGCCCGATGTAAGTCACTGCAAAAAGAAATGTATCGATTAACACAAGTAGTTCGATGTAAATCACTGCTGGATTAAGACAAATATTTCGACTGGTAAACAATGATCATATGCTGTACTTTTAATACACAAGAAAAGCCTGTTTGGTATGAAAATGGCAAATTGTAGGGCTTTTCAAAACTTAAATGACTTAGTCTTTTGGCAAATACGCACTGTTTTTCTTCATTTGAGATGCATTGGAAATGGCCTGTTTAAGATTTCCAAAGTTGAACTAAATATTGTTTAGTTAGACATTCCGTGATCTACAATGAATATTTTCCTCTTTGCTTCTCTAAACTACAGTACAGGCCTGCTGGAGTATTCCTAACTATAATAATCACTATATGATTAGTCTTGAAGAGATATATATATATATCATAATATGCTTAAGAAAAATGTATTAATTAAATTAATGTAGGCTACAACAAAGTGCAACAAAAACAAATGAAAATATAACAAAATAATCCCCCGAGTGATTCTCTTTCTGGTTAAAACTGCGTGGTTTATGTATGACTTTTTTTTATTTTTTTTATTCGTATAGACTACATGGAACATAATGTATTGTTAGCGTCTATTCTACTTCAATAGGCAACCAAAAACCATATGAAGTTGTTAAACTAGTAATATTAAGCAATTATTTACGTTTGTTTATTATGCGTGGGCCGTTTCCTAGAACCCAAATGATAAAAACTAAAAGTCCAATGCCTCATGTCTGAACTGGACAGCCCATATTTTAGACTATCATAATTGTGCATTATCTCCATTTTGTCATTTAGCCCATCTTGTTGAATAAACGTTACAAATAGCCTAAGTGTTGGGCTATCGGTTTGATATGCACCCCACTTGAATCCATTGGACTCAATTACACACAGTCAGCATGGGCCATTGTCTCTACCCCGTGGCCTGTAGGCTGTCGAACCATATAAACTCAGAAAATGGTTATTTGGGTATATATGATGAGAGCTGGGTCAAACTATGGTGCTATGGAGTAATAATCCATTTTGAGAAATAGTTATCTTTGATTGGGCCAAATAAAGTTGCTCTGGTCCGGGGTTGTGTACGTGTGAGTAGGCCTCGTTCCCAAAGCGTCTCATTTATGTTCAAACTGAAACAGTCAAATAGAAACTCAGTCTTTGAGCCCTGAATGACAACCATTGGGGAATAATTTTTTACTATCAACTACTATTTAGAGCTTTTAGCCTCATTCTATTACAAAAAATAGTTAGTTTAGCATAAGTACAAATTGGAGTCCTTGAGTAGCCTAAAAGCTGGAAAGGTATAGCCTAAAAACATAGCCACACTTCACTGCATAGGTTGATTGTTGACATTTAGAAGCCAACATTTCACTTGCCACTTCCAATTATCGTTAGGCTACTAACGTCCACGGAGGGGGAAACAATCCAAAATTAATAAGCTGAAATTAAATTGACGTTAACGAGCGGAAACTCATCTATTCTATTCACCGAGATGACTATCTGGCCCCCGTGCTGTGCGACCCAAACCCCGGCTCTTTTTTCTATGTATTCGGACGGTTCTTTTAAACGACATTTTCAGCCCCTGCTCTGTTGGGGGAGCGATTTGAAAAAGACGACATCTTCGTGCAAATGAACCCAATTAGAATTTAGATTAGTCCTCGGGGGTGAACATTTCAGAAGTGTCCTTATCAGCAAAATAAATTTAACAAAACCCCCATACACGCCTCTCCAATTATCTACTAAGTAGTTCAGACATTTTAACGGTCCAATTGCTATCCTCCCCCCCCCAAAAAAAAAATTGTAATGAAAATATCAAGTTATTAGGCCCTAGAAGTTGACAACTCGTACAAAAATTAATCGAATTCAACTTGAAGTCGCCCACTCAGGGGATTTTACACAAGTATTAATTGATCATTCATTTAATAATATATTAGACACAATGGGAGTAAAAATGAAACGCGCACATATACATTATTATCGGATTTTAAGCCAAATAAACAGCCTGTATACATTTATCACTCTTTCCGATTGCCACACAACGCAAACAGTAGGAAATGCTGATTGAAGGTTGTTTCAAATGCAGGACAAACTAATTTACGCACAAAGAAGAAAGATTGAAGTTGGAGGATCGTTTTTCAATCTAAACCATTAAAGTAACTTACCTTTTTCTCTCCTTCCTATCCCCAAGCTTCTCTCCTTTAGTAGCCTGGTAGAGGCGACCAGATGAACACAATGCGGCTATCCACCAATACCGAGGAAGTCTGGATGGCAACCCGAAGAGAGAGAACTCAAGACCGCGACGACAACTCAAAAACAAATACAGAGCAAACTGTGCATTATGGAGAAGAGCTGTAGCCTATTGGTTCTCACTTCTCACCCAGCACGTGCCCTGTCGTTGTTTCACTGTGAAGGTTTCCGGGTGTTTAAAAACCAAATAAATCAAACTAATTTGCTTGAGCTTTGCGTGGTGTCTGTCACTGTGTTAAGGTGATTGCTAATGTAGACGGATGGAGATTGATCACATTCCCACTACCCTGCCCCTCTATGAGCATAGGACACCTGCCGATCCACCCACTCTATCCAATCAGTGCGCGTCCTCTCTCTGACAGACAGCGGGAGTTGCCACTCAGCGCTCAGAGCAGCTGTAGAAGCCCCTCCCCTTTCGGTCGAGGACAACAAACCCGGACAAACCCAGTCCGGACATATTCTCAAAAGGGGAAAATATTTCAGACAGACTGGCAAAGTGGCTCATACCACCAGTTTTTGCTGTGCACTCTTCTGAACAGACCAATTACGCATCGAATAAATAGCCAAATATTATATAGGCTAGACCGACCTATATTGGAGACCAACATGGGATTTGACCGAAATGACAATTATTGTATTCTTAAATATACTTTTATTATTTATATATTTATCAAAAAGAAACGGCAACAGCGCAAACTAACAGGCCCCAAAACGGACTCTTTAATCTGTGGTTGAGAGCAAGTGCAAGCTATAGCCGAGTCGAATATACTTTTTGAACATTGTCAATAACTGGAAATAAATAATGTTTTTCAATGAGATGTCCGAAAAGCGGACATGACTAACTTGTCCACACAAAAAAGGGAGGTATTTCGAATTCAATGTTCTTTTCTTTTTCTTTACAAAAACACAGAACGAACAGGCTACCAGAAAGAGCACAAATAGAACACATTTAAGCAAGTTGATTTGGTATCATGCTTATTTCCGCCGGGGCGCGTGGGCCTTTAGGTTCAGGTCACTAAAAACATTAATCAGAGCTGTTCCAGCCGGAAGAAACCAACACGTTTATATTCTAATTCCGTGGTTAGTTGACCAACAACATATAACCCATTTCTCTTAAGAGAATCGTCGATGAGAAAGTATAAATTATCCTTTGAAAAAATATCTTCCATTCAATACATTTGAGGAATGTCTTTCAATAGAGAGAATGTGACGTAAATAAAAGGGAAAAAGTTAAATTGATCCATTTTCATTTGTATTGTGACCTCTAGCTCATGAATATGAATTAGTTCTAATCCCCCACTTAGAATTAGATTTCAGAATGGTCGGCGTTAAGTTTAATAGGGATAGACCGTCAACTCACAGACAAGAAAACCAAGAAAAACTCTACCAATCCAGGAAAAAAGAAATGAATTCAACACATATAAAAAGAAAAGACGGGAACCCCATTCTCGAGCCCCGGAATCAAATCCAATAATTGCTAAATCTCACTTTCCAACACCCCTTGTAAAGAAATACCCCCAACAAAATACTCGTAACAGAATATCAGGGGGGTGCACTGTTGCCGTAACCGTTTCTCAAAGGGTCGCGAGTAGGAGATGCTCGCGGGACGTTAATAAGAGCTCGCTCGGCCTCTTCTGTTGATCTCACAAAATCAACTCATTTTGAGGCACGAGCTGAAAGCGAGCTAATGTTCAAAGCAAGTGACAGTGGCCTCTAGGAACGAAATTACATTTGTACTATATAGGACCATCCAATCAAAGACACCCTTTAGGTTCCCCCGTCTATAGCCTATAAAAAGTCATCGACAAGAGCACTTGAAAAGAAAGACGCTGCTGTGGATGGGAAACGAAAAGGGGGAAGAAAGTGATTTGTTGTTGTGTGTGAACGTCTATATACATGCATAGTGATGCCGTGCTCTCTATAGGCCCTGGTGTTATTACAGCTCGAGAGGCAGAGCGAGAGAAAGAGAGGGCCCAGGCCTTGACCATGGCTCCAGCCCAGCCCGGACTAAATTCCTCCACCCACTCAAACAAACCACTAGGCCGATTTCATTCCCACGAGTGAAATCATCATGCAAAAAGGACTTGTAACAAATATAGTACTCAATCCCAACACAAAAGAGACGCGTAATTCTTAAATTCTGCATGACAATTGAGCACAGATTTTCTTGTTTTTCCTCCTGATGTTGGTTGAAACCCTGTGATAAACCCCGAACAAGTATCAAGTTATCAAATTGCACCAACCTTTTGTAATAAGAGTATTTTGTCTAATCCCAAATTGCTGTCGAATTTTCTTAATGCTGAGCTCGTAAAGCCTAGGATTAGGAAGCGAGGGTGAGGAGAGGAGAGAGGAGGGGAAAAAGTTTTGTCCCTTTAGCCGGCAGGATTGGAAGAGGGAAGAGAAGAAGGTCTCGCGGATGTTGTCGGAGCTTGTTAAAACGATGAAGCATAAAATACGATATTGTAAGAACCCAGCTCGAGAGGGGAACGGTGGGCTACATGGGTGCCTTGGTACATTTTTCGACGCAGGAAGGTATAATTCAGACTGGCCGAGCAGTTCTCAGCACCTGCGAGGTGAGGCCACAGACTTCAAAGCCTCCACGAGCCACAATACTCAGGAGATAATCCGCACGCACTGCACAAAAAGGATTCTACACCATGCGGCTGCAGAGCTCCAAAAACGGCTTTTTACGCTGCGCGTTTGAGACGTTCGTTTCTATTATCTGTAAAATGTATATATATTTTAAAAAAAACTATAGGCATTTTTATCGGCTGCTTGGCTAATTTAGGATCATAAGGCGACCATGCATGGTACACACCCAGGTAAGAAAGTATTCATTTGAGTTTTTGGAAAATACAAATCGTTTAGAACAATACGATGTATTCTTTCCATCATCTGGATTGATTGGTCTTTTATCGAGACTTTTGGAAAATGACAAACATAAAAAGATAACCCTTTAAAAGTATCGATAAACTGCAGAATAAGCGCACATTTCAACTAGGCTATAAATTGAGAAAGGTGAAAAGTGTTTTCTTTTTTGCTAAATAAATAAAATGCATATAGGCCTAATAGCCTACTCTAAAATTAAATTATTTAAAGTTGACCATATTCTGCATTTAAGTTTATTATTCCCTATTTTCAATAGGAAGTTGTATAGCATAATTAAATACATGTGAACGGATAGGCCAAAATCAAAGTTATCAAACATCTATTTCATAATCATAAAACAAGACTTTAGCCTGACTAAGTAAACACAGCGTGCAGGATATTAGAAACAAATAGCCCAAGTGTGTTTAAACACCCTGAGTAGATAAATGCCAAAATAATTACAATGTAGTGCCATGGTCATTTCAGACCATCACAATTCCATTTAGATCACACACACCATGATGCAACTGTAATGCATTATTACAATCTACCACTCTCCCCCCTCTCCTTTTTTCTCCGTCAAAGCTCTGTGATTTGTTAAGGCAACAAACAAATGTCCTTCACCGACTGGGGTGTAATCGTTTGTGAACGCCATTACGGCGCGCAGCTTTATTCAACAGATTATAGCCAACCCGTGATAACTGCAGTATAATACTAACTAGAAACAAACGCGCCTTGGGGGACGTAATATGTATGGATGTACAGTCGGTCCCAAGCAGGGAACCGATCAGCAAATTAATTGGAAAGTATTAGAAAGGCTAGGGAGGAGGTCAGCTGTCAAAACCTATTTTCTTTATTTAATCGGGGATGGATGAGAGAGAGAGAGTGGATGCTGCCTGTGACCATAGCTCCAAAACCACCACACGGTCTCCAGCTCCGCGCCTCTCCAATTCAACTCAAACCCCCCTTGCCTTTTCCACTGCGTCAAAACCAGGCGAGGGAGAGAGGGACAGCATCTGCTCTCCGTACAAAGTGATTTGGGCTAATCTTCCTCCGAGGAAAAGGCTATATAGGCTACTCGGCATCGAGCTCAAAGAAAATCGGACGCAAATACTAATTTATAAACATGCATAAAGCCAATGGGAATTCAGCAGAGCTGCATGTAATAAGCATTGCTAAACGCTGTCTGCAGTTCGACATTAAAACACTTCTGTTGGCCTATTTCAACGAAAAGCACACTAGCATTTGAAAAACTTCTACAAACATAATTGACTTTTAATTTAGAAAACGTAGCCTACCACTCGCACCGGGCAACAACTATGGCCCGCTTCATTGTTGGGATATTTCAGGAATTTCGAATATTGCAAAATAATGAAATTAATGCAACATTTAAAAGAGGTTTAAAACTTCCCAAAAGCTAGGACATAACAACTTAAACGAAGACAATGTCACATTATAAACAATACTAATACTATTCATTATTTGTAGGCTACAGGAAAACATCATATTAAAAACCCCAAATGAAATATAGTCCTACATTGATGATCAAACACTCATGATCAAATAGGAATATTATATTTCAGCGGCCGCAGGTAAAGTTTTGTACGAGGGCTTGTAGCCTACAGCCTACTCCATAGGGCTCCAAAAACACATCACCAAACACCTGTAATGGAGTATGAAAGCTTAGGACTTTATTGAAGACTTGTGTTATGACAGTGGAATAAATAATCAAACAGGTAAATGTTCACACGTTAAGACAGCAGCTGCAACGGATGTAGTGGAACCCATAGAAATATAATTACTAGAATGATCTGATGGGCTTTGCCCTTTCTGGTAATTACATTTCTATTGTTAGAACCAGGATATCGATGCACAAATAAAAGCAACATATTACCTCTTCTTCAGTATGTATACAATAAATATAAACAAAACGCCCTTTTGATTAAAATGCGCGAAATGCAAGAATATGACATGGTTGTGTTGTGATTCTGGTTTACTAATAACAAGTATAGCCCGTAGAATTCCTACTACGACCATAAAACGGCAATAAATAAAAGTTATTCTGTTTTCAACTGCTTGCGGCATTGATGCCGGAAAAAGTTTTTTTGTTCGCTATTTGTCAGAGCAGTGATGAAAATATACAAAATGACAGCTGGACACGACCCCCGCTTCAGCTCCGCTCCTCCCCCCCCCTCCCTCCCTCCCTCCCCCCTTATCACCGAGCCAGCTCTTCTTCTGCAATGTTTGGTAAACCGCATTCAAGCGAACAAAAAAATCATAACAGTTTTTCGGTTTATGAACTGCATCTTGTGTTCCTCTCTTGAGATATCTTACAGTTAAAAACATTACACACAGTCAAGTAATAAACATAGCTTGAAAATACTGATATCG